CAAAAATGTTCAAAACCTTTGAAAGGTTTAAGCTTTACACTGGAAACAAAACGCTGGAGAAAACCTCCCAAGCGTGGGTCCTATATTACACATTTTTTGGTATATTACACATTTATGTTTTAATATAATAAAAAGAGTTTCTACTCTCTCCAATTTGATAGAGGGTTTTTAATAGTACTCAAAACATTATCGAAAGTTGAATTAATTGTCTTTCACTACTACACGTCTTAAACATTTATAAACGATCATGGTAAAAAACATTTATTTTTCTAGCTGTAGAAAAACAAAAGTGAAATTTTTAGTATCCTACTAGCATTTTACAATCTGTTAATTGATGGAATCTTGATAAACTTCAATTTGACAACATTTTCAAAGTCAAAACTATCCCGATCGGGTTTAGTATTGAGTACAACGCTATTACGATTTAAATGGTTTAGTTGAGATTTGTATAGTTTGAATTTTCTATATGGTTGATGTCAAAATAAACTATTAGCTAAACGGATTTTCACAAGTAACAATTTATCTTCTATATATAGATTCACTTAATAAATTGAGTTGAATTAGATTGGCGAATTATATGAACTAGTTCTAATGAATTGTGGATTATTTCGCGAGCAAAGACTTTTTGGGAGTTTTGAAATATTATGTTTAATTGAGTAAGCAAATACCTACCAAAACATATTATTATTAGATCATCTCAAGACTCTCAAGTATAATGAGTACGTATTATAAGAGTGTAAACATGTTATTCGTTGATCATCTCAATACTCTAAAATATAACAGTTTTTAAATTAAACCACTTAAATGATCGATCTATTACATTATCTTTTAATAAAACTATTTTATGGTTAGAAATTGATTTAATTGCAAGAGTATCAAAATGCATAATCTTTTTTCTCTCATACGGAAAATTATAGATTATATAATTTCACTTATAACTGAAAATAATGTATTTATGCAGTATCCATTTATTAACCAAAAGCTAATGTGATTCTCCACTGGATTTAGACTGAGAACAATGTACAATAACATAGCGCAAATAGCGAGATATATCCTTTTTTAGGCTTTCGGCTGTTTTAATTATTTTGACTTTTAAGTTTGAGTTGACAAGATGATTTACATATAAAGTAGATAACAGATACAACAATAAATTATGGAAATATTCGAAATAATAATTGATTTCTCAAGCACAGAGATCGTCTTCACTAGGAGCTGATGGCTCATGTCTCATAATTCCCCAAACTCCTAATCTACAACCATCATTAGCCCTAACATTACTATCCGAATCATGTCCTCTAATTTGTCCCTTAAAAACACACCCGAATCTAAACCCTAAACATATATAACCTTTTGGCTTTCCGGTCTCGGTTATGACCTGATAATTTACATTGGTATGCTCGCTTATCTGCTTCTCTTCATTCAAGTGGAGCAATTGTTTTACCGGTAGGAAAAGTTTCCCCACGACTTGGTCTGACCCGAAATATCTCTTACACTTGATTTGAAACACAAACACTGATTCATTCCCTTGAACCTTGTCGTCTTCGATATAGAAATTCATACGGTAATTCCACCGTAAGTTTTTCTTACCACACACGGCAGCTGGAGTGACTTGATGGTCACGCGAACCGCGCGTGACTGAAGCTGAAACATAGACTGTTGGTCTGAACAAAAGGTTTACGGAGTCGAGATCTTGAGCGGAGAGAATGTTAATCTCCACCGGTTGGTAGTAATCCATTATAATTATAGTGTGAAGAATCAGTAGAAGAAGACAAAATATACGAGTTATATATATATATATAGTTAATAAAGAGGAGATTTGAGGAATATATAATTTGTTAAAACGGTTGTTTTCATTCTTTATTGGATTAGGAGTTATCATCTCCTTAAGCAAAGGGTTCTAGTAGAATTATGAATCTTTATATATATCGTTTCAAGGATTTGCACCCAAAATCAAAATGATATTGGTATTGTTTATTTTGTTGGGTCAAAAGCATTGGTAATTTTTGTTTTTGGTTTTTTAATTATGGTAGATAATACTCTAAATAATTAGTTTTCCAATCAATAGTTATTAATTATACAGTT